CCATTTTAGTGTCATCATCTCCCGGACTATAGGCACCTGGTCGCTGTGATTGGTGGTGTCCAATCGAGCCGTGATCAATCGGGATCATCCCAATAAAAATTGTCTAAACTGTGTCCAAGCTCTTACTTAAGAATCTCTAAGGTGATCATAAACAGGACTAAGGCCGGTATTCATAGTCGGTTCTTATTTCAAGACCGTCTTAAGTAATGTCTTAAGACGCTAATGCAGCCCTCTGATTGGTTCGTGACTTCTTAAGACTGTACTTAAGACGGTCTTGAATATAAGATCTGACTATGAATACCGGCCTAAGTGATCGTGTTTGATACTCACCGTCCATAGATAACCTGAGATAAGCATAAGAATGGTTTCCAGTTCAGAATTGAGAGAATTCATGGAATCCTTTTGGATCTTTTGTTACATTTCTTTTTTAGAAGCTTGAAATAATTATTTTCCTCACGATGGATGTTTTTTTAGAAATATACTCTACATACAAAACTTTTATCTTGTAATTATTTATACTATAACGAACATTATTTTGACGCTTTTTAGGTTTTTACGGCTGTTATCTTTAAAGATACCATAAGGTTTGTGGGTTATCGCCGTGTTTTTGTCCATTACTAATGTCAACGTTTCATGAACTTTGTCGTTTATTTCATCAGTGCGAGGAGTGCACTGATACTGAACTGCTCCTCCAGAAAATTTTATGTACACTCTAGAAGGGAGTGAGGGTATGTTGAGAAAGGGGGGAGGTCTTCCTTGTCATGCAGAGTCACTTTTCACAAACGTTCCAATAAAAGAAGTCTTAAATATAATTAAAACTTCACATAATCCCCCCAATAACATCATTATTTAATTGAGCACTGCCTAACAACCACATTTTTCCTGCAATAACTAATTCTATGGACAGACGTCTGGAGCAGCTATGAGCTCCCCTATCTCTTTTGTAATTGCAAACATCTTCATGGAGCACTTGAAGAAGAGACCCTTTGTAAGACGATCGATAAACTAAAAGTTTTGTTTCGTTATGTAGACAACACTTTCGTAATCTGGAGACATGGCAGTGATGAACTTCACAAATTCTTAAACTTCCTCAACAACTGACATCCTAATATTCAATTCACCATGAACATAGAAAAGAATGGTAAGCTTTCCTTCTTAGATGTTCTTGTCACAAAGAAAGCTGACAATACCCTGGGCTATCAAGTATACAGGGAGCCAACAAACAGATACTTACATGCCAAGTTGCACCATCCAGCATAAAAACAGTCGGCAATACACTTGTGCATAGAGCATTCAGTATCTCTGATAAGAAACGTCTACAAACAGAACTCAACCATTTGAAACAAACCTTACAGCGGAACGGATGCAATAAGAAAAAAGTGGACAGGACAATCAGCAAACACAGGAGCGAGACAAAGAACAACTCGGACACAACCACAGAAAGAGTTAAACAAAAGATCCATTTCCTCTCCATTCTTCATATATAAAAGGAACAACAGATTGAATCGACAGGATTTTGAACAAATACAACATCCGAACCATTTTCAAGCCTCCAAGGAAGCTCAAGCAAATCTTGAGAAATCCTAAAGGCCAAAGACCTTCACTCAGTTCCACAGAAGTATAAATGGTCAACGTACGCATGAAGGAACATCAACATGCCACACAATCAGCATTGGTAGAACATGGCGTTAAGATAGGACATCAAATTCGACAAAACGGTTACTATAGCTACAACGATGTCATATTTCCTAAGGAAATACAGAGAATACAGAAGAAATATCCAGACAATTTGAACAGAGACTCAGGTTACAATGTAAATAGAATATGGAAGATTGCTCTCTTGACAAGACAAGCCAAGAAAGATCTCCCCCCCCCCCCTTCCCTAACATCCCTCTCTACATAAAGGGAGTTTCCTGAAGGAGCAGCTCAGTATCAGTGCGTTCCTCGCCCTGATGG